AGCACACATGCTTCGTATTATCTATCCCGGTTAGGTGGTGCTAGCTCGTCCTCCGTGTCATTGCGGTATACCGATGATATTTACGAGAAGGTTTAAAGATAGTATGAGGAGGCGATAAAGAGGATGCGGTCTAAACAAGACAAGCTGTATAACATTGTCACACGGTAGTAGATTACCAAACAAGGGCTCTAGTCTCGGTATGAGTCGTTTATCTCGATATTGCATAGGTTGGCATAGACATCTAAGTTGCTCGCGAGATCGGCCCATCGGCCCGGACTCTATCATCCCTCCCATTGAGCCTTATGAGAAGGATAGGGGATTAGATTCTCGGGATGACAATGAGGAGTGATATTTCTTTTCTTTTCTTTTTTTGTTTCTTACATACTAATGAATTTTTTTATTAATATTAATTTTAATTTAATTTATAATATTAAAATTTTAATAAAAAATTAAGTTTTTATAATGCGTTGCTTGTTCTAATTTTAATTACTATAAAAAATCACAAATTTAAAAACTAACAAAAAATCAATTTTTTTAAATAATAATAATAATAATAATAATAATAATAATAATAATAATAAAATTAGCAACTGATCAACGATGAAATTTTTTACGATTAGTGATGAAATAGCGACAACTAAATTAGCTTTGGATTTTAGCGATGGAATTATTAGTGTACGTGCCTAAAATCTAATCATGTTTGGACTGATTTGAGTTATTTTATTATTAATAAAGAAATATTTTTATTAATTCTTATGTTTTATATTTATTTATTCGATAGAATTAGATAAAAGTCCTAATGATATTCATTTGCAATAGTGGTTGATTGAAAGATATAAGATGAATACTAATGCACATAAAAGATATCATTAAATATCTCAAGTTGTAGTATTGTCAAGAATGGACATTGACAAGATGCGGTTAGACTTGTGAGTGCTATGCTTATGCTATATGATAGCGAGTAGGAGATCTCACACCTATTGACATGATGATGTCAAAACAAGCACTTAGGTAATTCATGTTAGAGAACATATCACTTGGACTTGACTCATCATGAGAACCCATTTGGTTTAGTCTATGAAAATTTCATACAAGATGTATATAACTAGTCCTTAGACTTGAAGTCATCACGATTATCTTATTGGAGGACTTATGTACTTTGACACTCATTTCAATGTATCCGAGTAAAGGGTTGCACGTAGGCAATTTGTTGAGTGTGCTAGGAATTTAATAGAGGTAGGTGGATTACTAAAATAGAACATGTCATTCCTTGTATACTAAAGGAGTTATCACATTGCACTTCGATGAATATTTGCTCAAGAAATCTATGACCACGGTAGGATTACACCAATAGAGCATTGTTGGTTTACTCTAAGAGATAAGGCAATTGAAAATCGAAGAAAACTTATGTGAACGTGATCAAGCAAGACTAATAACTAATTTTGAGATCACACTTGTGATAAGTTGATAAGTTGATATAAGGATCGAACACTATGCTCGTGAAAGATAATTACGGATTAATTAATCCTCCTAGAAAATTAGGTAGTCATGATGCCTTGTTATAGGTCAACCTTGATTTATGTATCAAGAGATAAAAGAGTGTCTTTTATTTTTGATATATTGCTAACATATCTAGGAGCCTATTGAGTCACATACATAACTTTAAGCATTCACGTGATTAAAAAGAAGCAAAGATGTTGGAAAAAGTTTCAAAGTTTGAAAGTTTCCTATTTTGGAAAAGGTTTTCGAAAATAAAAAGTTTCCTAAAATGGAAAGTTTTCTATTTTAGAAATTAATTTCCTAATTTGGAGGTTAGTTCTAAATCTGGAATGAATAACCTAAAATGAAAATTAGTTTTCTAATTTAGGTGTAAGGATAATTTAGAAAATTATTTCCTAATGTAGGTCTTCTAAAATTATCTAACTTAATTTATTTGGACGAGTCCAAATTAATTAATTGGGCAAAAATAGTTTTAGGCCAATAGGTTTAATTAAAAGCTCGAAAGATATTTTGATGAGAGGATAAACATGAACCTTATTAGATAAGGATGAATGTTTTAAAGTTAAAGATTAAAAAGCTCACATGCAAAATAACACTTAATCCTTGAAGAATTAGAAAACAACAACCAAACTCCTAATTAGGACTAGTTGTCACCTCTCCTTGTCTTTGGAGGTCAAGGAAGCCTCTCCCCTATATATATGGGAGAGAGGTGTTGCAACCAAGAGTTTTTTGAGAAGAGAGAAAACGATACAAAAATAAAATGAAGCTATAGCACATGATATTGAGAAAAATAAGAGGAGAAAATAGTTTTCTCCTAAAACCCTACCACATGCCACTTTCCTCTCACCCTTGGGTTGTCACAAAGTTTTCGTGATTTGATTTCTAAAAGAAAAACACTAAATAAAGTAAAAAAGTTGGAGCTAGCACTCTATCAATTTTGAGGGTTTTTTTTTTTTGAGTGCTTAGACTTCGTGGATTATCGATAGAGGCCGGACACTTGAATGACTCTTTTACGCAAAGATTTAAATTTGTGCTACGGGAGGTAATTATTTATTTAAAGCTTTAACTCATGAATATATGGTTAGTTGATTTAATGACATGACCTTGGGCTCTTTAGATTGAGAAAATTTTTATTTTATTTTGCACCTTCATAGGATGCATGATCCTTCGGGAATATCGATCGTTAATTAACGACGGATCTAACTATAGAAATGCGACGATTATTTGGTAGGAAAACAACATTTTCGGTGATCAATTAGCGATGGAATATAGAAATTTAGCGATGGAAAAAACCGTCGCTAATTTAACAAAGGATACTTGTCGGTGTTTTAGCAATTGTTTTGTTTTTTCGCAAAGCCATCGCTAAATGTTTTTACCGACAAAATTACCCTTAGTAGTGACCGATTTCTCCGTCACTAATGGGCTGTTTTCTTGAAATGTATAATAAATTCCCAGCCAAATTTATTGTAAAAAAAACAAAAGGAAAAAAAATCATAGCCCAATTTAAACTCAATTTTCTATATATAAGGGAATAGGATATCCATAAAAACTGATTTGATCCAATAATTTATTTTAAAAATATCCAAATTATTGTTATAACGATACCAAGCAAGTAAAAAGTAAGAAGTAACGATAGGAACGAAAAGAAGATGTTGACAGTTGTAAAAGCATAAAAAGATGGGGGTGTCACGTTCGAGCTATATTTAGGAAAATTGTGGAGCAAAACTTATTGATATTAGTTAATCGAATATGTATAAATATAAGTTACAAAGTATGTTCGGAATACAAGATAAGATAAACAATTAATCTATCTTAATCAGAAACACCTTCTAGGAAGGTTTTTTTTTAAAAAAAAAAAAAAATTTCTCCGAATTGTATTTGAATCTGAACCATTCTAACTCTGCAGCTAATAAGAAAATATATTTGAAAGATATTAACTCTTAAAACATTGACAGAAGCAAAACGATATCAAGTCAAATTGTAGGAGGAGTGGGTTAAAAATGACTAATTTATATTCTTTATGTCTTAAAAAGATGTATTTTTTTATATAGTTTAAAAAATTATTAAATATCATGTCATGTCAATAGTTTTTATTTATATTTTCTTAAAATATTTTTTTATTCAAATTATTAGTTATCAAGTTTAATTCTCCATTACATGGAATCAATATTAATTTAAAGGAAAAATTTATCCAAAATTAAGGTGATATATGAAAGAAAAAATCACTAATTAAGTTAATTAATGATTAAATTTAAACAATTATGAAAAAATAATATGCTAATAAAAATATTTTACTGCTAAAATTTCAGATACAGTAAAGTTTCAATAAGAATGAATATTTTTCATATAATAAAAAATTTACCTTTAAAATTTTTATATTAAAAATATTTGTATCTATAAGAAAAAAATATAAAAAAATATTGATTTTTTTAATAGTGAAGAAAGAAACGAAAGAAAGAATTGATTTTTTTGTCAATTATATATATATATATATATATCGAGACAATTATTTTATGAGATATATAAATAATAAAAAATATATTTTTTAAAAATAGTAAGAATAGTATGTAATTTAAAACTCTTTTGACCTCTTACTAAGTGACTATCGAAGCCAAAAAGATTGAAGACATTAAAGTAGAAAAACGTTTCCTCTACCATTCTTTCATGTGACGCTAAGGACGTTGCTTTTAGATACGTTGCTAAAAGAAAGTATTTTCACATGCTCTCGTAGCTATGTTTTGTAGCATTGCTAACAAAACATGAAACTTTCGTTTTTCACATACGTTGCTAATAGAATAAAAAGGAAATTTCTGACAAAAAAAAAAAAAAAAACCAACTTATTTAGGTTCAAGAAAATAAATCTCACTAAGATATATTTTGTATAAACCATAGTTCCTTCAGGCATCATTTACGGAGGTGGTAACACTTGCTAAGATAGAAAAATTGTTATTTATTATTTTAAATTTTATATTATTGTATTTATTACTAAATAAACTTAGTACTATACCTGGACTAAACTAATTAAATTACTCAAATTCATTATAAAAGCAAAAAGTTCTAGGCATCCTTAAGTAATTTTGGTTTTAATAAACTCGGTTGGTATAGTAATTTTTCTTTACTTGTATATTGCATTTTTGGTGGAATGAAGCAATGTTATGGCATAAGTTGAGAGGTCTTTCTTTTTTCTTTTTCTTTTTTGAATTCAAAGTTTGAAATTATTATTTAAGATAATTTATTCATTTTAACGTAAATTATTTTCTTCACTTCCCTTTCCATCATTTTAAAATTTTCCAAGCATGTTGTTAAGATCTTTTGAAAAAGAAAAAAAAACTAGTTTTCGGTTGTCATATCAAAAGGTTCGAACGTATTTCTAACTGTTAAAAAAAAAAAAAGTGGAATGGAAATTTCTGATTGAGTTTTATGGGCTTCGCTTGTGGGGATGTTCTACTGTGATTAAATTGAATTATGCGCCTTTCTCTTTGAGTTCTTCGGCTCATATTATGTGGGTATCAGACTTGGGCCTCCCCATATTGGTTCTTGGGCCTCATCTGATATTGGATGCCAATGGACCGGAAAAAAGCAAAAGTCCATTAATTAGAAAGATGGTTCTTGTGAGTTCCTTCTATGCACATAGTTTATTTGGTTTTATTTTTTATTCTAAAAGGATTAAGAACTTTCCATATATTTCAACTAAATCTTAAAAAATTCAATCAAAAGGTTATACTCTCTCCATTTCAAAGAAATTTCTTTTTAAAAATTTTCAAATGAATAAAAAATTTATTAATGGTTATGTTATATCAATATTTTTTTCATAATTTTTTAAAATATTTTTTAAAAAATTATATTTGGACAATAGTTTACAAAAATAGATTTTAATTAGAGAAATTTTGAGAAAAATACATTGCTTAAAATTTTGACCAAACAACTATTTTTTTAAAAAATAAATAGAAAGATAAATAATTCTTTTGGAATAAAAAAATATTTTTTTAATAGAGAGAACATAAACATTTAGAAAGAGAAACCATAATTTTTCTTTTGAGTATATAGATCATACATCTAAAATAGAATATCAATCTTTTTACACTATCAATATTTGGATTTATCTATATTCTGTATCATAATTGAATGTTAAGATACTTTCGAAATAGAATTATAGAATATAATTATATTATCTTTTCAAAAAATTAATGTTGGAATGCAAATTTAAGTCCTTAAATAGACGAACTTCTCTTTATTCAAGATTAGAATTAATTATATTTTTGGTGTGCTAAGTTGTTAATTTTTCTAATCAAATATATATTTTTTAATCTTTATTATTTAAGTGGATCAAGTTATAGATTTTTTTCCTAACTAATAATGTGAAAAATAAAATTATAATGGTGTTGCAATAGATTGATTGTTGTAACGATGAAATGGTAGTGGTATGGCAATAAAATGTTTATTATAACGATAAACGTTATTGTGGTGGTGATAGTAACGAGAATTATAAGGTGTTGACGATAATAGTTGTAATAATAATTGACGGTCAATTAATTATAACTTAAGTGATATTAATATCCCATTTTTTCAAATAATTTAGAGTTTGAATTTTTTAATAAAAAAATTAATGATGGTGGCAACAGTGTGGTTGAGTGATATTTTTAATTGATTACTGCCAATAAAATATTTTATGAAACTTTATAAACTAAAGATATTTTTCAACCAATGGTTATAGGAAATTTTGAGAGATTGATCTTTTGGTTAGAAGGAAATTGACCCGATGGTACTCTTAAAAAAAATGATTATTTTTTATTTTATTTACAGTTTTCCAATAAGATGTTAGAAGGAAAAAAAAAAAAACAGTAACAAAAGGACTTTACAGTTCCTTGAATTAGCCACCGGTATTAGAAATTTTAGACCAGCCGAAAGAGTAGACCCAAAGTAAACAAAATACAATGCACTGGACTAGATCCGTCTTTGGCCAAACTTATTATTAATCTGAGAAAAGTTTAGAACGAAGATGTTAACTGTTGGATCATTAATGCTGTATGTTTTCAACTCTCTCTCCCCTCCGTTTTCACCTTAAAAGAAATGTAATAAAACAACAAGAAACTGCTGATCTGAAAAAAACCTAAGAAAGAAAGAAAGAAAAAAAAGGAAAAAGAAGACCATCCCACCTAAAGTCAAAAGCCCCAAAAATCTCCTCTTTCTCTCTGTAGAGAAAGAGAGTTAAACCCAGTTGAAAATTCTGTTTAATCATGCAATTGAAACCCATTAACACTTATACAATCACACTAATGCTGTTCTTCACATTCATAATCCTTTTTTCTCAGGTTTCCTTGAATTTCCGTCTATAACAACCTCAATTACCTCACCAATTAAAGACTCAAACTTTCCTATCAAAACAACACCAGATCCTTTCACTGACTTGTTCATTGCTTTCAAGAAATGGGATTCTAAAGTGGGTTGTGTTCAGTTTAGAGAGAAATACAAGAATTTCGGGTATAAGGGGTCAAATGGGTCTGCTTCTTTGCAAGTTGTTGATGGCGATGTGGGGTGTAGTGAGATGAAGATGGAGCATGTTAGTGTTTTGGTTAAAGGGTGGACTTGGATTCCTGGCAATTTGGATAATTTGTATTCTTGTCGTTGTGGGTTGAGTTGTTTGTGGACTATGTCTTCTGTTCTTGCTGACAAGCCCGATGCTTGGCTGTTTGAAACAACTACTCCTCCAGTTCAGGTATTTTGTTTTGACCCAAAATTTATTTGTTTGTAGATTTTCGGTTTATTGGAATTGTATAAAGTGTTAAATCTATAGATGTATAGGTTGTTGGAAATCTGTAGTGTAAACTTTTGGATGCCTTTGCAGTATCGTATTGCTTTGCTTAAATGATATCATAAGATTATGTTTCTAATGAGCAAGTGGTGATAGGTGAGCCGTGAGCATCAAATAGGTAGAATATGAATTTGTGACTGCAATTTTGCTGTGTTGAGAAATGTGGTCTTGTGTTCAAAATAACAGGTAACATGCATGTTGTTTGTTTTCAATATCTGTGCTCTGCTGTTACTGGCACTGATTTCTTTAATACAGTGATACGATTCAATTGGAAGCTGATTTGGATCTAAACATAGAATTGATGGTAGATGATTCGCTAGTTAGACATATTTTGCAGCAGATTGTTTGGAACCAATTTTCTTGTTAATGATGGGATGCTGAGTCCATTGATCTGCAAGTTTTACGTAGTACGATTGGCATTTGGGAACACTGTTGTCCACATCAATATTTTGTGTCCGTATTTCTAGCTTGTGGAAAGTGTACGGAGGTCTATTCTATAGTTTAGTGATTTGGATTGTGTTTCCATAGATTAAGAAGGAAGTAGGTAAGTCTTGTCTTTGCTTTGAAACAGGTTAATGGGGATGTTATCAGTATCAAATGATTTGAGCTGCGAGCATCTATAGGCTCAGAAAAAACTCTTGGACCGATTGCCTTATTTATAAGAATGCAATGGCCACATGTAACAAAGCAAGTTTTGAGGTGAAAATCTTTTATAAAGTTTTGTTGAAAGGTAGAGATAAACAGGAGAAGAATGATTTCTTTGAGAGACATTTGGAACACCAAAATTTTCTCTAGATGTCTTGTTTTAACTCAGTTGACTGCATTGCTTGGGTATAGTTTTTTAATATTCTTAAAGTCATCAATGGGGAAGGGTATGATAAGAAAAACAAAGGTTATTATGAGCATGAGTGTTTGTTGAACACTTTTTTGTCATCCCAAAACCAGTCTTATTTTTTATTTATTTTTTATCTAACAAAAATTGTGGAGAGTTGATTTTAGGAAAAAAAGGAGGAAGTTACTTGTTCTGCACAAATAGCTGTGCAGGCACTGCAAAACATGGTGAAAGAGATCCTGTATCTGACACTCACTTGTTGTTCCAATGATTCTGGTCTTGAATTTTGTGGCAGTAGACATATGAAGCTATGAGTATCACTTAGGTCAAGTGTCATGAACGACAAGTAAACTCTTTTGAAGGCTGCAGGCTTTTCAAGATGAAAGAGGGAGGCTATCTTTTGGCTGTTATGGAAGGCACAGGGGAAAAAGGCATCCTTTTATTAGATTGCAGGTTAAATGCCAAATTGAGCAAATGCTTCTGCACAGAAGAACTATTTTGGCAAATTGACAGGCATCACTACTGCAGCTGGCAATGCTCTGGATTGTGGAATTTTGACATCTTTGTATAACAGCATATAGTCATTATTAGTCTTTCTGTAGTTAACAATGAGAAAGTGATCACCCTGCTGCAGTTTTTTCTTTGGTCACAAGCATGTTTGATCCTCTTTGGTTCTGATCTATATTTATTTGCTCACTTATCCTGGTTGAGTTTTTTTTTTTTTTTTTTTTTTTTTTTTTTCCTGCAACTTGTGCATCCCTATTCGTTCAATTGTTTTTTTTGGCCTACTTCAAATCGGAAATTTTGTTGTGATTGTTAGAGGCGCAATGGGGATCCGCTTCGCGTCTACATGGATCTCGAGGCTGGCAGGAAACGCACAGGTCGTGAGGATTTATTTATTAGCTATCATGCGGAAGATGACGTTCAGTCGACATATGCTGGTGCACTCTTTCATAATGGTCGAAATTATCAAGTGTCTCGTCTTAAGGACAATGTAAGTGTTTGGCTTGTGTTCATTCCTTGTTCTATTCTTTATTCTGAAGTCAGCTTCTTGTTTTTTAGTTTCCATTGAAATCATGTTATTGCCAGTAAAGAAACTAGTGGTTGATTTCATTATTTTTTTTATCTTCCAAGGATACACTTGTTTATTGGTCTTCATCACGCTGTCTTGCTGATAGAAACCAGCTGGCTAGGAGTCTCCTCAGCTTGCTGCCTCACCATTCCTTTGGCAAGTGCTTGAACAATGTTGACGGGCTAGACATGGCCCTTTCTTTCTATCCTGAGTGTGCCAATGATGCCAGTGTCAAACCAAAATGGTGGGATCATCTACATTGTGCCATGTCCCATTATAAGTTTGTCCTTGCCATTGAAAACACCTGGACAGAGAGCTATGTGACAGAAAAGCTATTTTATGCGTTAGACGCTGGTACAGTTCCAATATATTTTGGTGCACCCAATGTTTTGGACTTTGTTCCTCCACATTCAATAATAGATGGGACCAAATTTAGCTCCATGGAGGAATTGGCTTCTTATGTCAAGAACCTAGCTAATGACCCTGTAGCCTATGCTGAATACCATGCATGGAGAAGATGTGGTGTGTTGGGTAATTATGGGAAGACCCGTGCTGCAAGTCTTGACACGTTGCCTTGCCGATTGTGTGAGGCTGTTAGCAGGAAGGGAGGAAGAAATGCTAGAGCTTAGTGGAATTCTGTTGGTTTCAATCTCATTTGGATTGATTCTGCCAGCTATCATAGTGAATCCTAGATTTTGCCACTCCCATCTGATGGATTGCTGTTAGTTGTACACAAGCAAGAATGACCTGTTGTAGGAAGCAGAAATACATGATAGGGTATACACAATTGGGTGAGTCTATTATCGTTTTCCATGATGAAATTGTTTGGTTCCATGGAAGGAGGCTTGATTTGTATGTAGTTTGATTGGTGGATCTCACAGATTACGTGGAACCAGACTTTTCATCTGTAGATTTTGGCTTACCCTATACAAAATGTTGACCTGAACCCCAGCTCATCAAAAAAACTCTTGATTATTTTCTTCTTTTTCCTCTACAGTTTTCCTCCATTTGCAATACATATTCGGCATTGTTGTTATCAACGGAAGCACATTTTTGTTTGATGATAGAATGAGTTAAGTTGTGCAGTTAACCAGAAGTCAGACCCAAAAAGAAAAAAAAAGGCAAATGTGTGATCATAACTTTACATATTACAGTCCATCAGGTATAACACAACAGATTTCCACATAGAAAATTTGAATTTGCAGGTTACTCCAGTGGTTTGTATGTTTGGTTAGTTGGTTTTAGGTGCTGCACTTTGCGGTGCCAGTTATATTGCAGGCCATTGCATTAAGGTGGTGCTTTGGTAAAACTTGGTCGAAATGAGAAATCATTTTAGAGAATGGTAGCGTGGTTGCTTCTAAGTCACTGCCCTAGTAGTGCTTGATATGATACCATCAGTTTAAGCAAAGAACCTAAAAGATGTTTTTGCTTAGAAGTAGGAGCAAAGCAGCTAAAAGATGTTTTCCACTGCCAAACAAGCATTGAATGTTAGATGATAGCAGGTAGATTTAACTGTTCTCATTATTGTAATAGGCTCATATTATATAATTTGGTTTATAGATCCAATTCATATGGATGAGAAAATTGCCAACGGAAATGATCAATTATCCCCATATTGTGAAGAAGAAGCTAATGCATATACAATATGTTGAGTTGGAAGAATTTCAAACATCAGGTCTCTTGGAATCCTCATTGTCTTCTTTATGAAATTTCCACACTGAAGCCATTATTCCCACTGAAGCTGAAGATTTATCCTTCCTGACCCGCTGGACCTGCATGCATTATCACTAGCTATGATCATCAATAAAAGCATTAATAGTTTTTTTTTTTTTTTTTTCACAACTTTATATGTAACGTTTCCAAAATGATGCTTAAAGGAAACACGTTTAAAAAATAATGTCTCTTACTTTTTGTCTAGGCTTGTTCTTTTGGATCTTCACTGTCTTCAATTCTTCTGGTCTGTTTTTCAGGTATTCCTTTAATTGCTCATCATTCATAGCATCAATCATGTCGGTCTGTCAAAAGACACAGGATTTTTCTTAAAAAATAATTGGAGTGCTTAATTTTTGGAAGAATTAGAAGTTGAAGTTCTATAGCCATTAAATTTAAACTACAGTTTTTTGATCCCGTATGCAGCTTGCCATTGCCCTTCTTTTTGTGTGGTAAGCGAAAATTTAAACTATTCTTAAGAAAAAAGGGAGACAAAACACTAATTCTTCCAAAAATTAGCTCATTTTTTAAAACTATGTTGCTATAATAGCTCAAGAACTTCTCCCTGTCAAACACTTTAGCTGTTCCTTTGCCCTGCCTTGGCCTTGAAGCAACGCGGTTTGTGTTGCTAATTTAATGGAAAAATAGCATCAACACCATTTGTGCTGTCTTGAAAGAGATTTTGTTTATATATATAATCTATTTTAAAAAATCGTAGGAAATATAAATAAATAAAATTGTAAAAAAAAAAACTCAAGACGTATACTAAGTTCAGAAAAAAAAATTGTAATCAAATAAAAAGTTAAATGAGTTGTACCCATGCTTTAAGATCTTCTATTTCATTTTGTAAGGTCTCTTCTTCTTTATCTGCTAGATCTTTCTTCTCTTTCCAAGAAATAGCCACAGGCTCCATAGCTATCTTCTTTTTCTTCTTCCCTTCTTTCACAGTCGACATTATTTCTTAAGTACCAAAATGCAGATATACCTATCAATGAACTCACTGAAATTTGTACATGCAAAGAATGCAAATATAGCAGGGATATTAAAAGTGACGTCAATATCGTAACGGTTGTCCATATTTTACTCAGTATACCAATGTTACGTTATGAATAAAATAAAATAAAATAAAATAAAGGGTTGATGCATGAAATTTAAGGCAAAAACAGGAAACAACCCACCGACAGTTCCACACCAACGATTCTTCTCACTCCTTTCCACTAAACAAGGATCAGTAGCTCTTTAAAACGTAAAAAGGTTGGTTAAGTTACGAAGACTTAACGTGGAGGTAGCTCGTAATTTAGTGTATTAAACAGAACCAGCACAAAATATTAAACTAAATATATAGACTCGTAAAACTTTTTTTTATCATAACTCTAATTGTTTACACTATAAGCTTAATTACTGTATCTTGTATTTGTAAATGATTGAAAAATCTAATAATAATTAGCATAGTTATAAAGAATGTATATTGTCGAACTACATAAATCTTATGTAGTTTGTTTGTTATTTTATTTTTCTTTTTTTGGGGGTGGTGGTTTGTTCCTTAAAGATAAATTGCTGGATAGGGAATCGATCAAATTCCATTTACACATAACGGTGAAGAGGGTGAAAAATTACTCACCTCCTTAAGTACTTGTGTTTGGCACAATTCGTGGGAAAGGAGAAATTTTCAGGGAGGGTAATGTTTAATCCAAAAAGGCAGTTAAATTTTATCCTAATAAGAGGAGGGATAAAGGAATTTTGAGGGGGAAAATTTTTGGTTTTTGTGTATTTCCATTTCTTTTTCAAATCTCATATTAATGCATTATTTTTCTCTTTCACATCTCATTTTCCACAAAGATATATATAGTATTATTTATTCCATTCTGATTTTATTTAATTTGATTTATATTGGGGCTTGCTTTTATTCAAATATGGTGTATTGGATCTTAGAACTTCTATGGATTTTAGGTATCAATCAAAACAATTTTATATTAAAATTTTCAGTTAACAATCAAAATCAAAGTTTTAACTGTTCAATCAGATGAAATGATATAATTTATAGTTGTTCAATAAGATAAAATGATATACTTTAGCTAAAAAATAATAATTTAAGAATAAAATGGACTAAATTGATAATTTAAAACTTATTTTTTTCCATACTCTCAATAATTTAGGAATAAAATATTCCACTAAACCATGTTTAGCATAAAATTTTGATGATTTCTTTTCAGACTTTAGATATACAATACGAAAGTGAAATAGTTTTTTTTATATATATAATTTTAACAATTTTTTAATGAGATGATTACATATTTAGTGTGCAAAATTTTTTATCCGTTTTATTTTATTATGCGAATTATCAAAAATTTTTTGATAAAGTGTTTTTGTTATATTAATTTTGGCGTGACTATTAAAATGACATTTCAACATGGTAACATATTCACCGTATAAATGTGAATATTTCAGTTTATTTCTAATTGAGTATCTATATTATTATTTTTCATTGGAATATATGTTTTTTTTTTAAATTTAAGTATATATACTTTACTTTTTCACATTTTTTCAACTCTTATCAAACACTTTACCTCTTAACATTTTTTACAACTTTAAAAAGACTTTAAATCTTACCCGTTTAATATTTTTCCTTAAATTTTTTCATCCATACTAAGGGTCATGGTGATTTACCTTATTTTCATAAATGAAAAAGACTATAACTAATATTGGGGGGGGGGGGGGTTTGAAGGGAGAGAGAGAGAGAGAGAGAAGACGCAAGGACTAAAAAGCCCATATTCAGAACCGAACCGGGTCATAGGACATCGTCAAGGATTAAACCCGGTGTGTGTGAAGGGAGAGAGAGACAGAAGACGCAAGGACTAAAAAGCCCATATTCAGAACCGAACCGGGTCATAGGACATCGTCAAGGATTAAACCCGGTAGCTTCGCCAAACCCCACCACCCCCCCCCCCCCCCCCCCCCAAAAAAAAACCACTATAAGAGAAGAAGAAAAGAATGAGAGCATTTTTCAACACTGTCGCTGTAAAACTCGACTCCCTTCGTCTTTTCTTCTCCCCAAACCTCGCCTTCCTCCTCCCCCACAGACGCAAAACAAGTTTCGTCTCTCTTACTAACTTTTCCTACCGAAATAAAACCGTAACTCGAATTCAAACTCCTGGGGTTTTACATTGGAGAGCTATGGCAACAGTGTCATCAGAAGCAGCAGCAGTGATTGAAGTGAAAGACAAGATTGAACTGAATGAGGTTGAAAAGCAGATTTTTGAGCGCTTACTTAACACTCTTCGCCATTTCAATCTCAATACTGAGCTCCGTGTTGCTGGCGGTTGGGTTCGCGATAAGGTAGATTTTATTTCTGGGGTTTTTTCTTTGTTGTAGGGCGATGCCCATAACATGTTTGATGAAAGTCTGTATTAGTGATGAAAGTTTAGCACATAGAATCATGAGGGGTAAATGGTTATATGAAATTTGCTGGGTTCTTTATGATCATAGAAGTCTTAAGCATGCCGGAGGAAATGATAAGAAGTTACTGATTTCTTTTTCTTTGGGTTCTTATTGTCTGATTAAAAATAAAATGGTTGTCTTAAAATGTCTTTTGCAGCTTCTAGGAAAAGAATGTTATGACATTGATATTGCTATCGACAATATGTTGGGGAGTGAATTTGTTGATAAGGTTAGGGAATACTTGTTATCTACAGGTGAAGAGGTTCATGGAGTTGGTGTTATTCCACGGTATGATTATTCTTTTATATAGGGACAAGTATTTCCTGTTCAAAGTTAATGTACTTGAGGTTCTATTTAAAAACATGATTTTTTTTTTTTTTAAAGGTATTTTCCTCTCTATCTTGTCTTATTAGAAAAATCCATGTTCCCCAATCTAAATTTTACATTGCAATTGAAATCCATGCACATTCACTCGTTTTCATGTGGTGGGTTGGACTTCTTAAGAGATTAATAGTGGTCAATCTTTTTACAAATTTTAGCCTTTTGGTCTTCATAGTGTGTTATGATATTATATGTGACTTTTATGTTATCTGATTCTACTTCTGCAGCAATCCTGACCAGTCTAAACACTTGGAAACTGCAAGGATGCGTCTTCTTGATTTATGGATTGATTTTGTAAACTTAAGGTGTGAAGACTACAGTGAGAACAGTCGAATTCCTACAATGGTATAAAACTTAGCTCATAACTTAACTATTATATTTTCTAATCCCACATACATGACATGTACCTTTGGCTGTTCTGTTGGTAAGAGGAACTTGAAACATGCTGTATACATTCAGTGTTCTCCTGTTTTTAATTTGGCCTGCGTATACAAGGAAATTAATATGAATGAAGTAATTTGTAACATATTTTCATTACTTAATATCTTTAGTATTCTGAATTTGATACATTTATTTTTTTTTCATTTTCATGATTATGTAAAAGTTGACTTGTGCTTTTAATTTGGTAAAGGGACCAAATAACACCATGAAGTTGTAGTCTGCGTCGTTAGGTTTGAGAGACTGAAAACTTTGAATCAGTTGTTGATGGAGCTAGGTTAGAACCTTGTACATATTATCGGTGCATTTAAAATGTTTCTATCACAGTGGTTTTCTGTTTGGTCATTACCTTTAGGTTTTTTTTCTTTTTTTTTTTTTTTAAATGTTCAGTTAAATTCTTACTTCGCCTAGGATTTAAAACATTTAGTTATTCAAGTTGACTTGCATTGAGTGTATCGCTATTTAAGTTAACCTGTTTTACCAGAGATTTGGCACAGCGAAAGAGGATGCATATAGAAGGGATTTAACCATCAACAGGTATTTTAATTTTGATACTGGTTTATGCAAGGACACTCTCGACTCTTGTTCATGAGAGTTATTGCTATTGGTTAATCTTTTTGCAATGCAATTTATTTTGTTGGCCAGCTTGTTCTACAATATCAATACTGGTTCAATTGAAGATCTAACTGGAAGAGGTTAGAGTAGGTCTTACTTTGTTATGCTTTTTCTTTGTTTACTTTGTCACTTACTATGCATATAGCTTTGCCACTTTCCTGACATCTTGTCTTTTCTTTCTTCTATGACAGGCATTGACGATCTAAAATCTGGAAAAATAGTAACTCCTTTACCTCCGAAGGCCACCTTTCTGGATGACCCACTTCGAGTTCTGAGAGCTATTCGGTTTGGTAATTCTGAATTTATATTTTCATCTGTTCTATTCTACCTCTATTGTGTGTGAGGCAAATTTTGTCTGCTTTTTCTCTCCTTTGGTAAAAGCTGGAAGTAATTTAGCGTTTGGAAAAGAATATGGAATCTTCTTAGCGCAATTGATTCAAAATATCATAGTATCAAAATTGCTACATATCTTTTTTTCTTGAATTTCTCATTTGTCTTTCATTGTATTATTTCCCTAGAGGCTGCTGCTTCAAAAGATTATCATTAATTTGAATATAAATTACCAATTTTTAGTTAACAAATCCAAAATCTTCCAAGCTCCTCATTGCCCTTTCTGACCAAAATTTTTGAAAATCATGGCCAATTACTTGGCATGAGTTAGGTGACACAACTTTCAATTTTCTCTTTGTTCACTTTACCTGTATCCACATTTGTTATGTATGTCTTATTTTAATTATTTCAGGTGCAAGGTTTGGTTTTGTACTTGAAGAAGAACTTAAAGAAGCTGCTGGCTGTGATGATGTGAAAAACGCCCTTGCAGAAAAAGTCAGCAAAGAGCGTATTGGAGCTGAAGTAACCTGGACCCCTTCTCATAGCTGAAATAGCAAGTCTCATTATGATATTTGATTTAAGAGGAAGACAACTTTCTCTTATTCATTGGGGCTTTTCTGGAAACTGTATTTATTGGGGAATCGTTATGCATTTCTTACATTATTCTTGTTTGTTCTTATGCAGATTGATCTCATGATCTCGGGCCATCAACCTGTTAAAGCTATGACATGTATTGCTGATTTGACATTATTTTGGATTGTCTTCAGTCTTCCTCCAAAGGTTGAGCCAACAATATCAGAAGAATGTCAGGGGTATGATGAGATCTGAAACAGTCCCAGATCACCAATTCTGGATTTTTTTGTAAAAAAATAATATTTGAAATGATCTAGATACTATTTCTTGATGCAATGGTAAAAGTTTTAATTGCAACCATCAGAGCTTATGCTGCATCTAAGCTGATAAACCCCACCCCCCACCTCCCCCCCCCCCCCCCCGCCCTTCAAAATACTGAAGGGCATGAATTCTGCAGTTCTCTATGAGGACCCACTATGATGAATTATTACTGGAATACCTTTATGATTACAAGTAGAAGGCATGATTTTCACTGAGAAAACTGGTGCTTTTGTGCCCAACTAAAAGATTTTTCTGCAATTCTCTAGCATTATTACAAGTAGGCTTTGAGATGTCCCTGTAGTATTGAGCAGCTTTGTCTGTCTGTGTTTGTCTTTAATGTTCAGATATTAATCTTTCTACCACTTTTAGGCTCTGTGTTGCTGACGTGGATGCTGCATGGAACCTTATTCAACTAATTGGAGGTTCATCCTTCACTGTGAGTGAGCCATGAGAGATTCTCTTAATTATTTTTGTTTACCTTCTGTTTGCCAGTATTATGTATTAGATGCTTCCTCTTCATTATCTTTTCTTTAATGTTCTATGTCTTTTTTAAGGTTGTGAATTGTAATTCTAAATGCCTGAACTTTAGGGTGAACAAAGAAGGCTCTGTTTGTATGCTGCTTTTTTTCTTCCATTCAGAAACACCATATACAAGGATGAAAAGGGTAAAAAGGTACTGGCCTTGTTCTTTTCTTCTTCTTCTTTTTTTCGAAAAAAAAAAGACAAAAAACAGTAGTTTGTTCTCTTTGTTGTTGGTTGTTTCTTTTCAATTGTGAATCTACATTTTATGCATTGAAGGAGCATTTGGTAGTATTCGTAGAAAGTGCAAATTATGATTACAGTCTTGACATTCAGATTTTAAGGCTATTCCACAACTAATTTTGGTGGATGAATAATAGTAACAATGCTGGTTCCTGATCATTTTGTTTTTTAAGGATGATCAGAACAGGCAAGTTACGACCTCATTGATTATCTTATAAAAAAAGGCAGCGACAAACGTTGCATTTTCTTGGATCTGTTTCCTCTTTTTCTCTCTTCTTTTAGAAATACTGGGCAGTTTGAAGCTTTATTATTTTTAGAACGCCAACCAAATTGTAGAATGAGATGAACTTTTTATTCAATAATAAGCAACTTCAATGCATTTGATCAGCGATTCATCTTTTCTAGTGTTTGTTTACCTTAATTATTGTGACTGGAATGGCGGCATCAACTCCCTTAATTAATTCTCCAGATACGTATTTTTATTTTTCTTTCCAAAAGGAATCTTTTCTGTTGATTAAGCTAAATCTGTGTTTCTTCACTGCAGGTGCCTGTTGTCAACTATATATTCAGAGACTCTCTGAAGCAAAAGGCCAGTGATCCTGAAACAGTCAGTACAATTCTCCTCCTACTAGGTTCTCATGTTATCATCATCTGCAAGACTTATTGAACATCTGCAAAATCATAACCCTCTTTTGTAGGTTACTAAGATACACAGGTCCCTAGAGAAATTCTTAACCTTGATTCCCTTGCTTACATCTAATGAGGATACCCAGCATGCTGAAGTTGATTGGGGCATGGAACTTTATGATGTTCCTATTACATCAAAACTCCGTGTAGCCACAGGTACTAGTTCTTGCTAGTGTATTTTGAAGTTCCATCACTCTCTGTGTGCTAAGGTTTTTCCTGAACTACCTGTTTACATTTGACAATTGTATTGACTGGCAAAGCATGATGAATTTCTTTAGCATAACCATAGTTGCCAGATTCGTAGTGTGATCGGATCGCTTTGTGGGGTTTGGGAACGTGATTCGCACATATGTGCATTCATGATATTTTGGGGTATTTAATACGTTTATGTGGATCGTGGTATGTTTTAGAAACTAATTCGGATAATTTACATAATAATATTTTGAAGGTAAAGTGTATATTACTATATTTTTTATAATGAAAAGTAGTGTTAAAAAAGTCATATTTAATACAAGTAGTATACAAATTACAATCATATTCGGTATTCTACTCTTGAGGGGTTATGAAAAACCTTAAATTGGGATCTTTTACTTTGAGCATGATTAATGACTAAAATAGCATTTGTTATATTAATACATAATTGAAGTCCAATTTGATTGTTATGCTTTATGAGGATTGTAAAATAAACTAAATTTATTTAAGCTTCATTTAATTTAGATCGTTTATTTTGATTGTTGTATAAATGATTTAATTCCTTTTTCTTCTTCTAAGTAGAATCACTAGCATCATTGTAGGTTTATTTGATTTGTTTGAATTCAATTTCTTTGTGGATACTAAGATAATTGTATTAAGCGATCGTTTATCTGGTAACTATGTGCATAACCCTTAAATACTTTTGAAGCTCGAAATGTTTATAACAAATTTAATTTCCTTATCATAAATTTTCACTATTTTTACATGAAGTGAGCTCTTTCTGCAATTTATTTGTACTCTGGAGACTAATATTAGCGAGACCAACATTTTCAACAAATTTGTTCTGTGATTGGTGAGGTGGCTTAGGTAGGTTTCATATGTACTATTCCATTCACTAATGGTGCCTGTCTTGTTAAATTTGCTGAGTCATGTCACCTTGATTAAAATAAAGTTCCTTATGTGACAAGTCAATCAGTTGTTGAATAAATATTAGTAAAGTTGCTATTCTACTTTGCCTTGCTCTTATTTGAATGGCTAGACAGCCATCAATTAAACTGTTTTTGATATTTTCTGAGTTCAATAGATTACCTTGGCTAATTGTTTATTCTTATATATTCAGGAATTCTACTAAGGGAAGTAAAAGAATTTTGGCGAGTTGGTTTGTTGATAGCAACAATGTTATATCCGTCCGACGCAGACTCTACTCAAGACTTTTTTGACAAGCAATTTCAACTTGACAAGAGAAGGGACTCATTTAAAGCAGCTGAAGATGCCATTATTAAACTAGGTACAGATGGTGCCAAATTTCTTCATTCTGTGAAGTTTTTCCTCTTAGATATCCTTTTGAGAATAGCTTGCAAAAGATGTTGCATTGGATTTTTAATGAGCCAGTTAACTTGGTCTGGTCCCTTTATCAAACCATATGCATTCATGGACATAGGAATACCTCCTGTGTTTTCCAGTATATTTATTTATTTTGGTTTTGCCCAAATCTTATGTGTACTAGAGCCCTTGTCATTTTTTAGTATGTGTTGAGATGCAGGTCTTGAAAAAGTGTGGGATGTAAAGCCGTTGGTTAATGGGAAGGACATCATGACTGTTTTGCAACTTAAATCTGGAGGACCGCTTGTTAGGGAGTGGGTAAGGCATATTTTTCTCTACTTGGAAACTATTGTGGAATTATACGTTCTAATATATCCCTTCCTCGCAGCAACAAAAACTGCTTGCATGGCAGCTTGCTCATCCTACAGGGACTGCAGAGGAATGCCTCGATTGGATGAAGGAAACTCATTTGAAGCGTGCAAAGACATAGCAACAAGTTCTTAATGAAAATGTTTTCCAGTCAACTTAGCAGAGGATTTAACCCGAGCAAACTGGCTTTTGTCCACCGTAGCATGTTTTTGAGGTCCCATGAACATCCATTAGTTCTAAACTTACACCCAGGCAGCAAGAGCAGTTCACGTGCAGAGTTCTAGCTGACATTTTCATTATTACTTTTGTATATATCTTCAACTTTATGTACAAGATCTTGCATTAGCTGCAAGTTTCTTTCGATCTGCAGTTCTGCACTGACCTCCAATTTTGGAGTATAGTTGGTGATATAAGAATCAATACTTTTGGCAGAGAATTCTCCTCGCCTGGATTCTAAACTGCTAGTGGAAAAAGCAGTCTTTTTGAGAGGCTTTTGCTTCATTGTTTTCTGCTTCTTATGGTGGGTATAGATAAGAACGAAAGCCCGTGCAGTGCTTATCAAGTAATGCTGCATAGAAGCAAGAAAGGCCCACAGAGAGAATAAAAATAAAGGAAAAGTCCGTACATAGTTTCAAACAAATACATAAAAATAGAGTAAATTATAAATTAGTCCCTTGTTTTGTAAAATAAATTAAATAATCTTTTTAATTTTAAGAACTAATCACTGATAAAATTGAGTGTCATTCACTTTTTCATACAAATTTAAATAAGATTAATTGGTCAAAAGAGTTCTTGAACTTTTGGTTAAATCTAATTTAACACCTGATCTTTTGCTTTTATGATATTGGCATTTTGAACTCGTTAAGATGTCCAATTGCTTTGACGGATAGTTTGAAGGATTAAAATTCAAACTCATTAAGGTGTGCAATTGCTTTGACATGATAGATTAAGGGGTTGACCTGATAGTTTGGAGGACTAAAATAAACAAAAAATCAAATATCAAGACTGACCAATTAGCCTTTAAATAATAAAGTAGTTATGATGGATTTCAAATTATAAATATCTAATCCAACTTTCTAAAAAGATGAAAAATAGAAATTCAAATTCAGAACAATCTCTTTCTTCCTAGTGATTAGTTCTACCAAATAAACTTTCTTTATATATATATATATAACCAAAAAAAAAAAAATCCCACCTTAAAAACATGAGCATACTAGTAAACTAAACAATACACCTTTTGAAATCTGAACATCATCGTCCATCCGAGCGAACATGAAGACGACGCGATCACCTTTAATCCTGTTTACAATATCATTATTATCTCTGTTACTATTCTCCGTAATCTGGCCAACAGAATCAACACCTGACAAAATAAATACAGTGTTAGAGCTAGATGAATCAAATTTCGATTCAACTATCGCTTCCTATGATTATGTCTTCGTCGATTTTTACGCCCCTTGGTGCGGCCACTGCAAGCGCCTCGCTCCCGAGGTATCTGTTCTTTCTCTTCCTTTCACAATTATATATGTTATCCGTGTTCTTCTTCATTGAAGATTTACTCTTACAAAACTTAATTCAATCTTTCTTTATAAGATCTGAAAAAAATTTAGACAAAATTTTGATTTGATCCCAGTTTTGATGTATTAATTACTGTGATTTTATAGTGAAATTATTGATGGTTCAGTAGTTTAGGTCTAATTTTTTGTGTTTAGATTTTTAAATAGGCAGCTTTTGAGATTAGATTTATGGATATTGTTCGAGTTGATATTAGTTATTTTTATTTTTTTGTTGTTGCTTGTGTGCTTGATTGTATTGTCATTGCTGTAAAGAAATTAAGGTTTTATATTTTGTTAATCGGTCAGAGCAATGCATAATGTGATTTGTTCCAATATGTTGTTTAATTGATTATTGTTATTATGTTTTCACAGTTAGATGTGGCTGCTCCGATTCTTGCCGAATTGAAGAAACCTATAGTCATAGCGAAAGTGAATGCTGACAAGTATACCCGACTTGCTAGGAAACACGAAGTTGAGTATGTATCTAATACCTCTTTTCTTTGTTAATTAATTTTCAGTTGGACCTCAGCTTTGATTTTGTATTTCTATGATACTGTGCTTAGATAATTTCTCTGTAGCATGATCTTAAGTACTCGTCTTTACTTTGATGCAGTGGATATCCGACCCTCAAGATCTATATGCATGGTGTTCCGACAGAGTATTATGGACCAAGAAAAGCAGAATTGCTCGTTCGCTTTCTGAGGAAATTTGTTGCTTCTGATGTTGCTGTTCTTAATTCAGACTCGGCTATAAGAGAGTTTGTCGAAGAAGCTGGGACTCATTTTCCTATATTTATAGGTTTTGGTTTAAATGAGACTGTGATATCAAATCTAGGCATAAAGTATAAGAAGAAAGCTTGGTTTTCTGTAGCAAGTGATTTCTCAGATGATATGATGGTACAATATGATTTTGACAAGATTCCAACTTTGGTATCTATTCATCCAAGTTACAACGATCATAGCATCTTTTATGGTCCCTTTGAAGGTTTGTTTCTATCCTACTACCAAGAAATTAGTGTTAACTTATGTATTTTGTTCATTCCAATGCGTTATTTTCAGTTTTCTCTAAGAATTTCAACTGTTAGCATTTGCTTATTTGATGATGTCCTGATGGACGTCTCGTGCTGTTGACTATCTCGTATTTGTCTGGATACCATTTGCATCAAAAGAATGGAACTAAGGATAAATATACTACTGACAATGATAATAAAAGAAGGATATTTTGTTATGTTCTGCTTGCTTCAGTTGTGTTTGTCCTGTCTTTGCATTCTGTGCACTATGCCCATGGTAGAATTTGCATAACTTAAATGAAAGTGGGATAATAATAGTGTTTCAAATTTGTTGCTGTATTACAGGTAAAGATTGTTATAGCATTATCACGTGTGTGTAGACAAAGATGTTCAAGTAGAACAACTAAGGAAATACTACCCGACTGATAGCTTCACAATACTAGAAAAATTTGTTGCTTCATGGTTTATATATCACAAGGAGGGAGGACATCCTCATTGAGAACTCACTGTAGAATATGAAATTTTTAGCTAAGAAATTTGTGTTGGCTACTGTTCATTCTGAGTTTAGGTCTAATATAATGTGGAAATTTTCAAGCTAGCTCGTGTTATATTTGAACAACCCATCAAGTACCTCGAATAAGTTTGATTGATGGAACCTAGACACAGGTGCTTGCTTGTTCGGCTTCTTGCTCTTATGTTTTTTCTCCTATCTGTTTCTTCTGTTTTGGCATAGAGATATCTCACATTATCTTCTTGTAGCTTTCCTCTGTTTATTTCTTTTTACTTCTGTTATTGGTTACTTGGTTTTTGCTGCATTGCCTAATTATAAGCTGTTCTTACCTTTCAATTAAGCCTGCAGAGGAATTTTTGGAGGAATTCGTAAAACAAAATTTTCTTCCTTTGGCTGTGCCCATAAATTATGAGACACTGAAGGTACTGAAAGATGATCAGAGGAAAATTGTCCTGACCATCTTGGAGGATGAGAATGAAGAGAAATCACGAAAGTTGATCAAGACATTGAAGGCTGCAGCATCAGCAAATCGCAAATTGGTTTTTGGTTATGTTGGGGTTAAACAATGGGCAGAATTTACTGACACATTTGGTGTCAGTAAGGAGACAAAACTACCAAAAATGATTGTTTGGGATGGAGGCGAGGACTATTTTTCAGTAAGTATTAATCTGCAATACCATAGTCAAACACCATGTTTTAAACGACTTGGAAATTTTAATCCCCATTAGTTGCATTGTTTTCAAGGCAAAATAATACACACACTAACTTTATTTGAATACTGTGTAGGTTATTGGTTCAGAAAGCATTGAAGAGGAGGACCAGGGGTCTCAAATCTCACAATTCCTTGCAGGATATAGAGAAGGAAAAACGGAGCGGAATAGAGTTAGTGGTCCATCGCTGTTGGGCTATATCAATTCACTGATTGGAGTTAGAACTGCTTACATAATTGTGTTTTTGGTTGCAATGCTGTTTCTGATCCGACATATTAGCAAAGAGGAACCTCTAAGGGTTGGTACCCGAGACGAAGTTGAACGTGCGACAAGCTCTGAAGCTGAAAGCTCAGAGTATAGACCTGGAAGTAAGCAAGACTAGAGTCAGTCTTCTGCTCGGGGTTAGTGCAAGTGCTGGGATGAATCAAGAGACAGTTTTACAGTAGGGAAAGCAACCAGAGACTTCTAAGTTATTCTGAATCTCCTAGCTTCTATAGAAAATGATCTGTTCCATGAATTTTGATGTGCTCAAATAGGAGGCTGTTTTGAGTACCAGTGTTTATCAGCTTTTGCACGTGTTTAGCAAGTTGGGTGGTTTGTGTTTTAGGCACAAAAACTTTTGTATTTATTCTTCATGATAATTGCCTACGCCTTCAAGATATCTTACTAGATTTTACATCTTTCGTTTCCTTGGATTTTTTTTCTTCTTTCTTTTCCATTAAATTTGTTGAGCTATGTTATTGTCACATTTGGTCAAGTTAATTAGCTTATAAAAGAAATAGGTACTCCAGTAGCATCTGAAATTGTATCATCCTTTGAATCGGACAGAGATTAAGATTGGGATTTGAAGTTGGAAGTTTCAGGTTCGAAGATGAGAAGGTTGCTTTCGATACATAGCTCAAAGTTCGTTGTACCTTCATTTGAATAAAAAAGAAAACTCTCTTTCTCGGTGAAATCTATTAATAATTTTACTGCTTGTCATATATTAACTTGTATATTCCGAAAAAAACAACATGATTTTCGGGAAACATCTTACTACAAAAATGACCGTGAAGGGGATATTTGCAAGGAGTCCAAGACCGGGAGCCAGTTCAATTCTTATTTTGTTTGATAAAGGGAAAACATCACCTTGTGACTTCCAGTCATATCAGCTGATCTATCTCATTTTTTTTTAGGTCATGGCAAGTTCTATTTAATTTAATTTTTTTTTTTGAGACTTTTAATCTCTCCATCTACCTTCATCATAAAATTATGTTAGTTTGATCTAATGATGTTGGTTAACCAATCCTTGACAAATTAGATGAGAAAAAAAAATTCCAAGAAATCAATGAAAATTATGGCTCAAAGCCACCAGATACTCTTCTTCTGCATGAATTTGGAACCTTTCTTCTATATGGATTTGGTCCAATCAATTTGTCTACCTTTCTTCTATATGAATTTGGTCAGATTAACTCTCTACAATTAATAAATTAGGCAAAATCAATCTATGTATTCAGATAATTAATTATTATTTTTTATAATTGAGTAAATTTTGAAATATAATCTTCTTAGTATGGAAATTAAATCTTTCCTAGGTCAAAGGTTAATTGACATAATTTAAAAGCTTTACTTATATGATTAATTGATTTATTTTTATAATGGAGTAACATTTTAATCTGTAATTGAATATTGTTGACTATGGAAATTAAATCATTTCAATTAATATGCGCTCATCAAATATAGCAGTTCAGAAATTTTGAAAAGAAATTGGTATTTCAATATAATTAAGAAATCCTAACTACAATTATTTTACTAACAATATAAATAGCATGTTCAGGCATGGTCTTCTCCAATCATACAACCATTTCCACCAAAAAAAAAAAAAAAAATCACAAAATTTTGCACAGGAGATGGCTTCAAAAAAAGCTGTGGTTCACTTTGTCCTCATTGCAGTCCTCTTGATATGCCTAGGTTTGTCTTGCTTATATATATATATATATATATATATATATATATTGGTTTTGGTGTATTTTTGTTAGAATTTTTTTTTATTATAACTTTTCTATTCAAACCAAAGGAAATTTCTCTGGTTATCTAGAGATATTATAAATTTTAGTGGCTTCAAATTTTACAAATGATGAGATAAAATGCTTCTATTACAAGTCTTCTATTATTTTTCAGAAAAATTAGTAAATTGAAACCAAATAAAATAAGTTTTACAAAATAATAAGCAAAAAATAAAAAAGAAAAAAGAAAAAAGAGGTGAGTGTAAGATTTGTGGTTTAGCATTTAGGTTAAGGTAGAACATAAATAATTCACTCTTAAAATTTCTTGAATTCTCCACTTTCCATTTCAGTTTAATTTTATTTTTTCTCTGAGTATTTCCAATTTGAAACTTTGTTAAATTTATTAAACGTGTATTTCTATATATCCACCACTACGTATTTGATACTTACTTGTTATTTGTGTTTCTTTATTTTATTTTTATCTTTTTCAGATTATAAAAATAACGTAGCTGCACAATCTCAGTGCTGCACCGAACATCCTGAGCTTGGATCATGTCAGCCTGGTAGCGATGATAAAAATCCAGATGGAAAATGCTGGAAGTATTGCATAAATAATTGCCAAGAAAACAAAGGAGGTTTCTGCAAGCAAAATGGCAATAAACATCATTGTCATTGTTATTGTTGATTTTTGTTGCTATCTATATCAATAATAAACTAATAAGGAGTTGAGATTTTGGAAGTTTAATAAAGTTTTATTAACTCATACTTTTTATTAAACGAATTATATATATATATAGCAGCCGTTTAAAAGTTCTTCAGTTTCTTTTTATGATGAATTTTTTACACTGCAGTTTAATTTCATTTCTAAGTCTTAGATTGTCTTCAATCGGGATAAAAGGCAAATGAGACTTGGAGTGGAATTTAATCATGTTGCTCTTTTGAAGAGTTTTCGTCTATATCCGTGCTACGTTTTAGTCACACAATCGTTACATACTTAGCGTAAATGATTTATAAAGTGTAGTGTGAGTAGAAGTTTTGTTTCTTGTGATTAAAGTAAATTGAATCTATACATTGAGAGAAATTGATTGATATATATATATATATATATATAAACAAAATATTTAATAGTATTAGCATAAAAATTTGTATTTGAATAATTGGGAGGTTCTTTCAAAATATTATTTAAATTATTTTATTTAAAAACACAGGTTTTAGAACATGAAATAATAAATAACAAATAATTAACATTATGTGTACGGATATATAGTTAATTTCTAACAAAACTAATGATATATATATATATACAAATAAAACTTATAAATTATTTTTTTAATTGATTATTAATTTTTTTTAAAAAAAAAACGAGTCGAGTTTTCTAAAACACACTTTTAACTCTTTCTCTCTAATCAAAATTTAAAAATCATAAAAATAATTCATCGTATAAATTATAATAATATATTAAAAAATCTCTTACGTTCTAAACTTTTATTCCAAAATTCATATATTAAAAAAAAACCAAATTTATTAACAAATAAAATTATATCAAAAAATTTAAAAATTAATTTAATGATAATTTTAATAAGAAACAAACAATTGAAGAAATAAAATTTAAACAATAAGAGTAATATAATAAGATATATATTCTATTATCGTCAAACTAAATGTAAAACTAAATAAAAGAACGATCTATTTATGTATATATATATATATATATTTTCACACCTAATTCCATAATAAAAGAAATATATAAAAATATATTATAGGAAGAAAGAAGCAAAAAAAGAAAAAAGATCAAGCTCGCACGCTTAGGTTGCTTGTGTAGGCCCGAGCACCAAGCCAGCTCAACTCGATTGGGCTTGGTTAGTTAGTCCTATGCGACTAGGCCAAGTCGGCGTGCTTCGAGCTCGCGTATGTAGGCCTACATGCCGAGCCGGGGCTTCGCAAGCCTACACGCCCAGGCCATTTAGGCTCGCTTATCCAAGTGTGGGTTGTTGGTCGGCCCAAAAAAACCTATAACTTTCGGTGAACTCAAGCTCACCGGAAGCTTCATCGAAAAATCACAAACCAAGTTTCGGATCCCTAGAAACTCAATTTTGGTATTATTTTTTTGCTAAACACCTTTAAATGACCAAAATAAAGTCAAAAAACACTTTTAAGATTTTAAAAATCATTTTAATGCACATTAAAATAAAATACATAATCAAATCAAAATTTTTTCTTCTTTTTTGGCTCGGATCTACCTCAAATTATTTGATTGGTTGAAACCACCATGGATAAACTCATCTCTCAAAGATAAAAATAATCTAATGGAGTTTCATTGGCCAAAGTGGCCTAAATAAGCTTGGTCGACCCTCTTTGTCTCGTCTCTCTCTTCTCTCCTCCCTCCTCTCTACATTAGGGACCAAAATGTATTAGCAAATAAGGATGTGGATCGAAATAAAACTTTCAAAAATATCAAGAACCAAAATGTAAAAACTTAGAAATCTATAATAAATGAACAATGATTACTATTCAAACACTTCAGCTTCTTTTAGTTTTCTTCTTAATCTACTAATAAAACATAATAATAATAATAATAATAATAATAATAATACATATTTCTTGATAATGTAATATAACATAATAAATATAAAGTTTATTCGTATCTTAAATCTTAACCCACAATATATATTTTTAATTGACATGTTGCATCTTTCCCTTTTGCCACAAATAAGAGTTTTCTTAGATGCTGCCTAAGGAATTTCATCACTATTTGTTAGGAACATCTTTGCATTAAGGAGCTACCTTTCAAATAGGCCTATAAATAGATCGAATTTTAACCTGAATTCGATTCGAATCCGATGTAATTAAATGAATTTGGTAAATAATTTTTTTAAAGTGATTCCGATTATGATCCAAATCTGTTTACCCATTTATTAAATTGATCTAATATTCGGATCTCAATTGATCCGATCTAATAATAATTTGACACGAAATTAAAATTAATATTTTTGTAATAAATATATATTTTTTAAAATATTAAAAATTTTAATATGAAAAAATATATAAATATGAAACTATGTTGAAATTTATATTTTATTTATTATAAATTTTAAATAACGCATATTCTTCCACAATGACAATTGTATTTAAAAAAAATCACATATAAATTTCTTGACATTTTTTAATTCGGTTTTTGTGAAAAAATTATGAAATTTACTTATATACTTCTTTAAGAGTTTATGCTATTATATTTGTCATCACTCTATATTTTTTTACCTCATGGACAAGAAATAAAAATTGTTTATTACTTTTTTTTTAGTTTTATCATACATCCTACCTAGTTCAAGATTCGATTTGATCTATTTCACTAAATATGAAATGTAGTAAGCATAAAGCTTCTATAAAAATCAACCGA